TAATCCATGCCAAATTTCTTAGATATCGCATTAAATAAAAATTTCCGATACACGCATTTTAAACCGATTATTCAGTTTGTATGGCAGCTATATGCTATAGTGATCCAAACTGAACCATTTCTTCAGATTTTGCACAATTGCTTAAGACAATTATCCATGCCCAATTTACTAATGATATCTCGTCAAATGAAAAAAGCTTTCCATACACGCATTTTCTCCCGATGATTCAGTTTGTATGGCAGCTATAAGCTATAGTGGCCCGACATCGGCCGTTCCGAGAAATGAGCAGCTCCTTGTTGAGAAAAAAATATGTGTAAAATCTCAGATCGATATCTCCAAAACTGAGGAACTAGTGGCTATGGCTAAGTCGACTGAGCTTGTCATACTGATAATTTATACATACATATGTACATACATATATACTATATAGATATATTTTGTAGGGTCTCCGACGTTTTCTACTGGGCCTTACATCATGGTGAACATAGTATACCCTGTTCAGGTTGTAATCATTTAGTAAATTTCGTACGATTTCGAAGATTGGCTCAGTAGCCGCCATTTTGTAATGAAATATCGATATATAGTTTTTTTTACTGATGTATACATTGAAGAAAGTATAAAAAAGGGAAATGCGATTCCTTTTTCCTTACTCCGAAAAAAAAGAATGTAAGTTAGGTCTTACCTAAGGGCTCTTGGCTGGTCTAAACCCTTAAAATCGTCACACAAGGTTTCTAAATGCTTGAAAGAGCTACAAATGCCTCACCTATAATTCTTCTAAACAAAGAACACCCCTACAACTCTTAACTAAAAAACAATAAAAAAAACAATTAAACAGGCATCCAACTTTAATTGCACCTGATTGTTCTGCGTTTCATTTTGTTTTCGTTTCACTTTTTCTTCTCGATGTTTGTAACCACTTTTTGACCTTTTAATGGTTTCATTGCATTTATTGCACCTTTTTTTCATCTGACGTTGATTGCATCAGAGGCCGCACACACCCACATACACACGCAGGAAAATTGAATTACATACATATGTTTGTCTGCAATGCACCTTTGCACCCTCCCGCTTGCTCAACACCAATCACACAACCATCTTGATTCTGTATTCTTTGCACTTACCTGATGGTGACCATGATGGAAACCGCCTGCTTGACGGTGGAAAGCACTATTTGCGCCGCCGCCAACATAACCTTGCATGCCGGCACTGCGTTGATGCGAATGATGGTGGTGGAATGGCGATGGTGCTGCTCCAGCTGATTGTAACATTTTGTCAAAATCGGCTAATTCTTCGCGTGCTTCGTCATCTAAATCGAAAAGTGGCGATGGCAATGAATAGACTTCGATCTCCGACAGCGATAGATCGAAATCCTCAATATAATCTTTCTCGGTGCTGTCCTGTTCCTGTTTGGTGGTGCCGTCAGTGGTTGTGTCGAGTGTTTTCTTAGCCAAATCTTCGTCTTTACCGTTAGATATGATAGCACTGACGTCCTTATTTTCGTTTAGCTCGTCTTCGCTGGTTTCCGTTTTGGTCTTGTCGTTGTTGTTATTAGTTTTTGCAGCCGCAGCTTTCGATGTTGAAGCGACAGAATCGTTTGAGCACTGTGTGTGTGAAATTGAGGTAAGATTAAAACTTTTTGACCACTTTTATGTATATAAATATAATACAAAAATGGTTCAAAATGTTAAATCATATCTTAAGGAGTCCGATTTAAATATATTTTAAATTTTATTTAAATTGTTACATTAATATTATATTTTGCGTTAAAAAGAAATAATTTGGAAGAAAATTAAATCTTGGGCTATACACAAGCAATTTTGAAAGTATAATGTTTTGAAGTTATAAATGAAAAATCTCGAAAATTATGTACATATGTATTTATTTCAAGGTTACAAACGAACAATTATTTAAAAATTAGAATTTGAGGTTATAAACAAACAACTTAAAAAATATTACGTTTTGAGGTTATAAATGAAATATTTCGAAAATTATATATATATTTTGATGTTAGAAAGGATCAATTTCGTAAAAAATGTTAAACGAACAACCTTAAAAGTACATATTATGATGTTATGAGGTTATAAACGAACACGTTCGAAAAAAAATATATTTTTTGAGGCTACAAACGATCAACTTCAAAAATATTACATTTTGAGGCTATAAACGAAGAGATTCGAAGATAATGGAGTTTTGGAATATAATCGTTCAATTTCGAAAGTACAATATTTTGAAGTTACAAACGAACAATTACGAAAACAATTTTGTGGTTATAAAGAAATAACGAAACGAAGGAACGAAATAACGAAAACATTCGAAGACAATTAAATTTTGAGATATAATTGAACAACTTCGAAAATATTATATTTTGAGGTTATAAACGAAGAAAATCGAAAAAAAAATTATATTTTGGTTATAAACGGAAAACTTCAAAAATATTATATTTAGAGGTTATAAATGAAGAAATACGAAAATAATTAAATTTTGAGGTTACAAATGAACAATTTCGAAAAAAAAAATATTTTTACGTTATAAACGAAGAACTTCGGAAAAAATATATTTTATGGTTACAAAACGACTACTTCAGAAATACTATATTTTGAGGTTATAAACGAATAAATTCGAATAAAATTAAATTTTGGGTTATAAACGAACAAATTCGAAAATATTGCATTTTTTGATAAATTACAATAACAATTCCAAAAATAAAATTTTTTTGAGAATATAGAAAACAATTTCAAAATAATATTTAATATATGTTACATATATAATAACCTTAAAATAAATCATAAACAAAAATTTTTTGTTATTTTTTAATTCGGTTATATTAGCCCCTTAACTTACCTCGCTATTAATATTACCGAATTCAGCCAATTGTAGTACGTCGTTAAGAATTTCGTCCAGTGGCAAACGGATATATTCACCTATAAATTACAAAAATTTAAAATTAGTATAGAACTATAAAATTACAAAATATATATTGGAGAATTAACTGTTATAAATGCCGAATTTAAGCCGAGTAAGAATTTGCTTAGTTTTACTGTTATTTTAATTATGTGGAATTGAGTTTATGGTGCAAGAAACTACAGCGAGAGTAGGTCTTAGAATTAACATCGGCAAAACCAAAGAATTTGGGGAATTTGCCTCACTCAATGCAAGAACAGAAAAATTGCACCCTTCGTCCAACACAAATTTGATTCTTAATTTCTCAAAAAATGAAGAGCAACACTTCCACGAATTCACTTGAACTGTTCTTTTGCCCAATTGATCGATTTCGCTAAAGCAAATAATTTAAAACAAAAATATAAAATATAAAAACAGAGTCAACATACACACACAAAATACGAAAGAAAATGCAAACATGTAAATATTTTGATTGACAGTCAGAAAAAAAAAATGCATTGAAAAGGCAATCTTCGAGAGCCTCTCACATTCAAAACAAACAAGAAAGGATACTGCAGAGAACAAATGCTGATTACGTGCTCGGAGCGCAGACACAGCACACACGAATTAATGCCCAGGAGAGCGATCAATTTTTTGTAGAAATTTTTTTTGGAAAAATACAGAGTTTATTTTGATAAACAAGTAACGGATATTTGTATAAAATATTTTGAATACACATACGGGGCATCTTTTCACTAGATTTCCAAAATTCAAAGCAAGCAAATGTTACTATAATGTAGAGCGCTGTGGGAATATGCCATTATGACGACTGTGAGATTTCTACGGAGCCATTTTGAGCGCATAAATATGCACCAAAATAACGCCCAGTAGTGGCTACCGTTTGTGAAGCGAAACAACAAGCTGACCACGCTGCCATTAATTGCAGCTTGAGTAATGAACGCTGTAGAAACACCTTGAGAGCGGAGCGGTCTCTTGATAGTTGCTTGAACGCTGGGCTGCGCGCTTAGAGCGGCAGACCGGCAGTCACGTTTAATGTTTAGTAAAAATTTATATTAAAAACGCGCATCATTAATCATAAAAATTCACATTTCAAAACGCCACACAATGCAACAACGAAAAGGAAAATCAAAAATGTGGAAAAAAGTACGGAAGCAGATGCAGATCGCTAAACCAACAATCCATTGACAGAATGCGATTATTATTATTTATGATAGCAAAACATAGACATACATAAATACATAGATATGCATGTACATGTAGTTATTTACTTATGTATAGGTAGTTAATGTGTCGTAAGTGCATATGAAAAATTAATAAATTTCTTTTGAATAGCCAACGGAGGAAATTTTCGCTAAATCATTCTTACAACTTTTGTATCAATTACACATTATAGTTGCACACACATACAAACAAACGTATGTACTTATTTTATATATGCATACATGTATAAAAATATATTACTTTTATATATATATGAAGCAGCTGTTCTAAAGCAAAGCAAAATGCTCTGGGATAGCCGCTAAAGAACTGATATCGGCTGAGTATGAACGAATGGAAATCTGTATAGAAATTTGGCAAAGATCATTTTTTAAGGCAATGCCACAATCTCCGAACAAATTGTTCCGATTGGACCACTATAGCATAGAGCTGCCTTACAAACTGACCGATCAAAATGAGTCTCTGTATAGAAACTTTTGCAATTGTGTAGGGTGTTCCTCGCTACCGAAGTCAACGATTTCTCTTATTTTTATTCAAACAGCTACTTACAACAATTTAGTACAACAAATTTACACAAGCAAGCCAAATAAGTAGCTGACATACAGGCTATAACCATATAACCAAGCACCAGCGGCATTAACTTCGCACTTGGCATGCGACATTATCGCACAAAACTATCTGGTATGCACAGAACACGAACTTATTACAAATGTTTGACAAAATCTATACCAAACACAGGCGCCTATATACATACATATGTATAAATGTATATATAATATTTATCAGAAAATTACTACTTAACATCGCCAAGTAAACAATGGCCGCTTGAAAAACCAAAAAACGGCAAAAAGAAAAAAAAAACACGAAAATTTCCGTGGAAAAAAATATAGTGGGCGAAGCATGTCAGGTAGTATGATAGACAGCCAGCCATGTAGCCGTTTAAGGTTAGAATAAAAGAGCCAAACACTTGAATAGGGTCAAAATTAGAATATAAATGCTTTGCTGCACTGCCAGACTAACCAAATGGTACAAAAAAAAAAAAAAAAAAAAAAAAAAATAGTTACAATAAAAAGCGGCAGCTAGCGTTAGAATTATTCAACATTCTAACGGGGTATGCTTGTGATGTTGTTGGGCTTAAACACCCCAAATCAAACAACTGTTGGCTTTACAAAACCAAACTATATGTTAAACATAAAAAATATGCTTATAACCGCCAATAGTACATGTTGTTGTATTATACATATACATACATATATACATATGTATGTATTTTTTTTTATTGCGCACCCACCTTCGTTTTTCTTGCTGCTTCCTACTTTTCCTATAATTCTATTTTACTCTAACGCTTATCGCGTCCAAGCCATATTTTTCCAAGCCTTTCGACCATAATTGTCGCTGTTATTTTAGGTCGTTTCTCACTCGATTTAGCTCCGCTCTTGTTGTTTTTATTCTATTTCACTTATTTCAAATTTGTTTTTTTTTTTTGTTTTGCTTCTAACAATTCTTGGACATATGAATTTCGAGCAATATTCAAAGTTTTTGTTTACTTAACATTTACCCACAAGTACACATATACATACCTACATTTACTGATACATATATACACAATGCACATACAACAACACACGAGCCTTTCAGGCACTTTCAAGCCCATACGAAGCCACAGAAGAAAGGTGTTTTACCAACTGCGCCCTATGAAAATATTATTCAATTTGTAGCTGGCTTTGTTGCACGCATACACATGCATACATACACAGACCACTTGCTTCTATGCGTGTGTGTTTATGTGCATTTTGGTTCGAATATTTGTATTAAAATATTGTAGTTTTTGAATAGTTTTTGTATTTTTGTCAGCGACAATTAGAAGCATTCGCTGGCGGGCAGGGTTGGAAGGCATGCATATGTATGCATATACATATTTACAAGTATGTGTGTTCAAACATTGTCAAGAAGGAAATATTTGTTTGGTATAATTGCTATATATTGTCTATTGTACGAAACAATTATATTTTTATTGGAGGGGCGAGTGCATACAATTCTATTAGTATGACCACAAAGTTGCAAATAGAATATTGAATATTTACTATACATTAAAAATTTGAAAAAATTAAGAAAAAAAAATTATACCATGACTATAAAATAGTAAGATTTTATAATTTAAATTTCGCACGACTAATATGATTTAGTATGACTTTCAGTGACATTTGTGCCAAATATCACATGAAAATAATCATTTCCATTTAGTATACGCTTGTTTTCCTGAAGTACATATCGTGCATTCAGCGATTTTTACGAAGAGTGAAATTATTCAAGAAAAACCGCAGCTCGAAAACCGTTTTAAGTCAAAAGCAGACATTAAACGCGAATCGCTACGTGCATTGAATACTATTTTGGAATTTGATTTTAACAACTGTTTCGAGAATTAGAACAAACGTTGCTACAAGTGTATTGTAGCCAAGAGGGATCTTTGAAGGGGATGACATAGATTATGAAGAATAAATTAAGAATTTTGAAGTTATGAACAAGGGGTCTTTCTATTTTTTTCTAACATTGATATATGTATGATCTATTAGACATAACTCTTTGGCCATCTCTACCATGCCTTGGTGAAGCCACGACTTCTATAAACCGAAATAAAATTTATAATAAGTTAAAAATAAGTATTACCCAAAATTATCGCCAATTTTTCTAAACTTAGATTGAATGAAAGGGGAGAAAGCAGCTTGTTCAATCGAAAAGCATCTAGTTATTTTCTTTAAAGGAATATATACTCTCCAGCTTCCTAATTTGATAGTATTTATAAAAAAAAAAAAAAAAAAAAAAATGCTAAAGAAACACACAACCAGACCCTTACTATCAAAGCAAGCCACTCTATTGGGTCTATAACTATTTTCGAGCGGCTTGCCAAGAGATGACATAACCCGATTATTATATTCATATTCATTGCTTCAATATTCCGAACATGCTTTGGAAAGCTGCTGATCTTCCTCAGTATTTGTCATTCATTTGAAGAATAAGTAAACATAATTTATTTCTTCACACAAATACATACTCGTATGTACATATGTCGAGCTTTAAGTCTGAAGAAATCTTTTGCCAAGGAGTTAATCTACACTACTTTAATATGAAGAGAATCTCAGCCGAAAGCTTGGACGGCCAAAAAAAGTTAAAGATGAGGCACTAGAAGCATTACTCGAGCTCGCACAAAATTTTGTAGCCACTGGTTGAGCCATTTCAAAGCGCTTAAAAAGCTTGGAAGCTGGGCGCCATATGAATTGAAATCAAAAGACTACGAAAGACGAGAGAGATATCAGAGGTGCAGCTTGAAAGAAGTAGTTTTTATAAAAAAACTGGCTGGCTTGCCAAATAAACGGTGCGGCCGAAAAACGACGGTTAAAAATATTTGGAAAACAGCGGCTGGGAAGTCTTGCTTCACTCGCCTTATAGACAGACCTTATCGTTTCCCAAAACTATTTGCTATTTGGTCGATGCATGACGCCTGGAATATGATACAAATCAAAACAGGATTAGTTTGATACATTATCGGTCCATCGCAGGTTTTTTGCTGTACCCAATGACGATGAGGACTGAGTCGACGTTAACGGCACGAATCCGAATAACCGGATTTATATGTGACCAAAGAACGTCTCTATTATAGAAGATTATTTATTTCAACTGCACCAACATTAAAATGTATTATATTGTCCTAAAAGATATAGGTTTTTGTCTGGTATTACTACCAATTAAATTTTGCATGCTTTTGCATCTTCGTGTTCATCTAACGGATGATCTAAGTAGAGCT